ATCCCTCCATCTCTCCATCCCCCGCATCCCTGATCCCTCCATCCCCCGCATCCCTCCATCTCTCCATCCCCCTCATCCTTCCATCGCATCCCGCATCCCTCCACCCCGTATCCCAACACTCCGCCCCCTCCCAAAATCCCGTCCCCACCTCCCGCAGCCCAATCAGGGCCGCTCGGAGGAATTCAAACCCCGGCCCCGCAAGCGGCGGCTCCGCTCCCGCGGCCGGGGGGGAAAAAAGGCTGCGCTGGGGAGGCACCGGGATCGGGATCAGGATTGGGATCGGGACCGGGAACAGGAGCGGGGCCGGTCCGGATGGGCGCGGGGAGTGGCGGGGCGGGCGCGGCCCCCGCCCGCCGCCCGGAGCGCAGGTGAGTCCGGGGGGCACCGGGAGGGCACCGGGAGGGCATCGAGGGGGCTCCCGGCAAAGTTTGGTGGCGGGGGGAGGACACAAATCGCTGCCGGAGCCCCCAAAGCCACCCCCCTGCGGGGCCGGGGGGTCCGGAGGGGTGCGGTGGGTTCCCCGCCCTGTTCCCCTGACAGCTCGCGGGGGGAGAGGAGAGAAAAAAAAAGGGATTTGGGGCCGAAATATCGCTGTTAGATTAAAAAAAACAAAAATCAAAACAACCGTGGGATGGGCGTTTTGGGGAAGAAGGAGGAAACACGGAATTCCTGCAGCTGCTGCAAAGCTGCTGGTTTGGGAATTCTTCCTGGAGACCCCGAGCGCTGAGGGGCTTTGGGGGTGCCCGCCCCTGGCTCCGGGAAACGGGAAGGAGGGGCGGCTGAGGGAAAGTTTGGGATGAAACGGAGCCGCCTCGTCCCTCCTGGAGCCGTGGGGGGCTGGGCGGGAGCCGGGCGGATCCCACGGAGCCCCGGGATAACGGGATGAGCCCCGGGATAACGGGATGAGCCGCGGAGCCGCCCCACGCAGGAGCCGGTGGGAATTCACTCCCAGCCCCCTCGGGAAGAGTTGGGAGCTCCCTGGGAGTGTCAGCGAGCCCCGGCCGTGGCGGAGGGAATTCGGGAAGTCTGGGCTTGCCGGAGGCAGTTTTTGGTGCAGAGCCTCGTGTCCAACATGAGATCGAGCTCCGGCAGCGCCGGGCGTGGGTTTGGCGGTGATTTGGGGCTTCCCGGCGCTGGGTTCCCATCCTGCCATTCCTGCTTTCTCCCGGCTGTTGTTACGCTCCATAAATCTGCTCCAGGGGTTGCTCCGGGGTGGCTCTGGCGGTGCCTGGGCAGGGCTGGGTGTGGGACGGGCGGTGGGGATGGTTTTCCTGGCGAAGGGATGGGTGGGAAGCATCCCTGCCCTGGTGACTCTGGAAGCGCAGCCCCAGCCTGCTCCTGGCAGGCAGTAAACGCCCAGATCCCCGTGTTTTTCCCTGAGAAGCCCCGGGAGGCTGCTTGGGAATGTGTTCAGGGTGGCTCCCCACGGCTCCAGTGCCCGGGAGGGGAAGGGAGAGACCTGGAATCATCCCTCCAACCTGCAGGGGTGGAACATCCAACCCGCAGGGCCCCCCGGGAAGGAGCCATGGGACAAGAGGAGATGGCCTCGGAGAGGTTAAGGCTGGATATCAGGGAAAATTTTTTCATGGAAAGGGTGGTCAGGCACTGGCACAGCCGCCCAGGGCAGGGGTGGAGTCCCCATCCCTGGAGGGATTTAAAATCCCCGTGGATGTGGCACTTGGGGACGTGGCCTTGGCAGCGCTGGGGGAGCGGCCGGGCTCCATCTCAGAGAACCTTTTCCAGGCTGAACAATTCCATAATTCCCTGACTCTGGCCTGCTCTGGGGGCCCGCAGCCACGCTCCCTGCCCGCTCCCAGCCTGGCAGCAGGACCTGCTGTCCCCAACATGCCACCACCCACCTGTTGCGGGTGGCACCGGCCGGGCAGTGTCGCAGCTCCCGCTGCCAGGGAAATCTGCTCCCTGTTTCCCCGCAGCCCGGCCCTGCCGCAGCGTCACCGGGGCAACATTCCCAGTGCCCAGCAGGGACTGGCACCGGCGACCAGGCAGGGCAGGGCTGGAGCACCAGCAGGTCGGGGGCGGGCGCCGGAAAAAAGCCGGAGGGTTGGAGCGGCAGCCGCGGGTTTGTTTTTTTTATCGGCTCCCTGCTCTCCTCCCTCCCTGCCACGGGTGACAGGAGCTGGTGACATCCTCTGGCTCGTGGCTCTGAACTGTCTGGAGCTGCCAACTGTCAGTAAATCCCGAGCCGTGGTTTGTTTTTTTTTTTTTTGGGAGCAGCTGCTCCCGGGGAAGGAAGGAAGCGCCGTCAGGGCTGTCGGAGCCGCTCGGGTTCCGCCGCAAAATGTTCTCTCCAGGCAGGAAAATTGATGGAGCTGAATCTGATATTCTGGAGGGGAACTTAATGGCCATTAGGCTGGTTCTCTGCGGCCCTGAGTGCAGGGGTTTGAGTCGGGATGAAAGGATGGGGGAAGTGCTGTCTGAGTCAGGATGAAAGGATGGGGGAAGAGGGATGTGCTGGATGGGCGGGGGCTGCTCCAGGGTGGAGAACGGGGAGCTGGAGAGGAGCTGGGAGGCTGGAGGTGGCAGGGGAGGTGACATCTGCAGGGTACAGAGCTGTGGTGACCCCAAGGGTGACCCATAATGTGGGTCTGGAACATCCACACCCCAGGGATCAGCATCCCTGAAATCCCAGATCCCGGCTCTGCTCCCGGGATTTGGTCCCTCTGCTGTCCCGAGGTCCCTCTGGTTGTGCTGCTGGGCCAGAGCAGCTCCTGGGGCAGGACCAGGGTCTGTCTGTGCCTGGACAGCGGCATCTGCTGCGTCCATGAGCCCTTCCAGCCTGGATGTGGCTCCTGGAGCTGCTGGGAACTCCATCCATTGGCCCTTCCAGCCTGGATGTGGCTCCTGGAGCTGCCTCGTGCTGCCACTTCCCAAGCTTTGCAGCAGGGACCTCACCCCAGCTCCTGGAGTGGCTTTTGCCCGCTCCCATCTGTCCGTGCTCGGTGACATCCAGCCAGTCCTTCCTCCTAGGAAAACATTCCCCTGCCCCCTGGAAATGAGCCCCGTGGAGCTGCCCAAGGTGGGAAACGCTCCTGAGCCCGGAGTTCCTGGGGAAGTGCCCGAATTCCCAGGATGTCCTGCCGGCGCAGACCTGCATTGCAGGGCCGGGATTTTGTCCTTAATTGCTGTGCTAACGGCCTGTGCTAACGAGGGGATTAAGGCCCTTGGAAGGGCGAGTGGTGCCCGCCAACTTTCCACGCCTGTTCCAAGGTCTCGTGTTTTATAACACCCCTTTCCCTCCCCCATCCCTGCCCTCCGCCTGGAGCAGCCTCCTGGCTCCCCACGCCGGGATCCAGAGATCCAGGGATGCTGGGAATGCACCAGGTGCCCCAGAGCTCCTTCCCCCCCTCAGCTGGCCGTGGATTGAGGGATGGGGGGACGCCTGGGATGAACCCGGGATGAACCTGGACGCTCCCTGCTCCCTGGTTTCTCCGTCGGGCACTTCTCCAGCAGAAATCAGGATGTGCTCCAGGGCTGGATGCGTTCCCAGGAGGGGGATGAGGGGTCAGGGATGCTCTGCCTGCAAAGGAGGGGCTCTGCTGGATCCCACGGAGCAGGGAGCTGCTCCATCCGGGAGATCCTCCTCATCCCGACTCGGGAGCACACGGGATGTTCCCCAGGCACCAGCAGAGCTTCCCAAGAGCCTGAATTTGGGGGTGGGGTTGGAGTAAATCCCGTGGGAGCCGTGTGGGGTCGGCACCACCCCCTCCGAGAGCAGAGCTCGGCTCATCCCAAGGGACGAACCCTCGTCCCCAGGGGAACTCCTGGAGGTGCCAGGGCCCTGGGCAGGCACCGCGTGTGCCCGGGCTGTGATTCTCACTTCCAGTAAGAGCAGTCTGGCCAGAGCCAGACCGGGATCCATCCCAACATGCTTCCAGGAACGAGCCTGGAGAGGCGTCTCCCCGCCGGCGCACGGCAGGGAAGCGAATCAGGCAGAGATCAGATGGGAAGCGCTTGGCAGGGAGGTGGCACAAAGTGTCCTGGCACGGGGGGAGCACGGGCAGGAGCAGCTCTGCCCTGGCACAGCCGATCCCGGGCACGGCGCCGGCATTGGCGGCTTCCAAAGGAGCCGCAGCCCCGGGGGGGGGGGATGGAGGGGACACCGAATTCCAGAGGGAAGGAGGGTTGGCAGACAGACTGTCCTGGATGTCCTGGATGTCCCGGCTGTCCTGGCTGTCTGTCCTGCCCGGGGGTCCTGCCCCACACACCCAGAGCCAGGCTGGCATGGGGGGTGGGATGTGTTCTGGGATTTGAGTCTGGATCTGGCACAGGGGGTGTGGGAAGTGTTCCAGGATTTGGGTTTGGATCTGGTATGGGGGATTTAGGAAAGGGAAGTGTTCTGGAGGTGGAAGGATTTGGGGTCTGGTTGTGGCACAGGAGGTGTGGGAAGTGTTCTGGGATTGGGGGTCTTGATTTGGCACAGGGAGTGTGGGAAGTGTTCCAGGATTTGGGTCTGGATCTGGCATAGCAGGCGTGGGAAGGGGAAGTGTTCTGGAGGTGGAAGGATTTGGGGTCTGGTTGTGGCACAGGAGGTGTGGGAAGTGTTCTGGGATTGGGGGTCTTGATTTGGCACAGGGAGTGTGGGAAGTGTTCCAGGATTTGGGTCTGGATCTGGCATAGCAGGCGTGGGAAGGGGAAGTGTTGCAGGATTTGGGGTCTGGATCTGGCACAGGGGATTTAGGAAGGGGTAGTGTTCCAGGAGTGGGTGGAAGGATTTGGGACCTGGATCTGAGGATGCTCCTTCCCTCCCACTGTCCTGTTCGTGTCCCTGATCCCATTCCAGCCCAGGCTCATCCCTGGCCGTGTCCTCCTGCCCTGGAGAAGCCTCAGCTGGAGTGGGAACATGGTGCTGGATCATTGGGATCCGCTGGGATCCAGGGCACTGCTGGCTCTGTGCCATTCCTGGCTTCCCTAATCCCGTTCTTCTCCCAGCTGTGTCCACCCCCAGCACATCCCTGGAGCAGCCTCTGGATCTGGGGAGGCTCCAGAGGATCCACCAGTAGCTCCCAGTTCCTTTCCCTGCCTGCCTGGTTTGTGGATGTGCGGGTTGGGCTCCGGGAATGGTTCGGATTCCGGGAACTGTGGCAGGAGATTTGATCCCTGAGGGAATCAGAAATGGGAGATAACATCCCTTGGAGTGCTCAGCATGGGAAGGGCATCGATTCCCGGGAGCTGCAGCCCCAGCCCTGGAATCGATCCGCGTTTTCAGTGGCTCAGCTCGGCCGAGGGAGAGGTTTGGATGTGGAGAGGGGGGAGGAGGAGGAGGAAGAGGAGGAAGAGGAGGAGGAGCAGCTCCCCAGGTCTCCAGTTTGCTCCTGCAACGTCACCCACCTGCTGGAAAAAACCGGGA